GTGTGTGTAAAAAGAGTGTGTGGTGTGGCTGGGAATGTAGCTCAATGGTAAAGCACATATTTAACCTCTGCAAGGCAGACGTGGGGTTTGATACTCAGCAGGGTTGCACATATAAACACACACAAAAGAAAAGAAGAAAGAGTCTGTTAGGTCTGATAAGATAGAGAACACGTGAAAGAGATATCCCCTTTCATTTATTCCTACTTCAAACAATCACACTAATAGATACCCATGTGCCCAGGCCAGTAATTTTGGTGACACCATAAATTTCTCCCTGTGCCTCTCTTCCCTCCAATCAATGGCTAAAACCTGTTGATTCTACCTCTGGAAAGTGATATCTCCAAGCTTACCAGCCAATTGGTGTAGCTCACAAGGGTCTCATCMTCTGTGACCAAGATTATTTCAATTCCACTCATCTTCCAGAGGATTTTTGTGTACTAGAGACCAAACCTAAGGCCTTGTAGATACAAGGCAAGTGATATACCACTGAGCCGTACCCCTAGCTCCTTCACAGGATTTTTTCAAAAACTTTGTTGACATATCATAATTGTAYATCTTTATAGGGTATGATGTTATAGTGTGATACCTGTATGTATTGTGTAATAATTAAATCAGGATAATTAGTAGATCCAATAGCTTAATTTTTGGTCATTTATTTCCTGTAAGAATAGTCAAAATTCTCTTTTCTAGCTATTTGAAATACAGAATTTTATTGAATTGTATTGTTAGCTATAGTCATCCTACTGCCAACAGAGTATAAGGACTCAGAGGATATTTATTCAATATAAATCTGATTATGTCATATTTCCATTCAAAATTCTTTATGGCTCTCTACCATTCACAGATTAAATATTTCAATTCCTTGGCATAATGAAGACCCTTCATGATTTGGCTCCATGTTGCCATATTAAGCATCATCTCTTATCCAGCCTCGTTCCCTCTTGCTCCCACAGTTCTTGCCTCTTGCTTTCTACTGCATCAATATAGCTGCACGTTAGTTTCTAACCCTGCTCTTATATTCCTCAGTGACTTGGCATATGGTACTTCCTCTATCCCAGATGCTACCTGGWTGCTGCTTCTCTAAAAACATCCCAGACTTTCTCAGGAATAGTTTTTCTGTTTGATTTTGGTTTTTAAAAGCAGTTGTTTTCTTGTGTGTCTGTATTTCCAGGGCCAGTAAGCTCAAAGAACGTGGAAATTGTATCTTTCCTTCCTTACATCCTCAGACCTAATTATAAATGTTCATTGATTAAATTAGTGAATGAACAAATGCCTGCACTGAAATAACTTTGCGAGATTTGAAATAATCACTGCAGATCACTCTGTTGCTGTCATAGTCTTCTTTCTAGTAACCTAGTGTTATGTTTTAGATGCAAGGTATCTCCCAAAAGCTTATGTCTAAGACAAGGCAAGAAAGTTTAGAGGTGAAATGATTGGGTTATAAGAGCCTTTAACCTTATCAGTAAAATCCCCTGATAGGGATTAATTGGATGATAACTGTAGGCAGGTAGGTGTGGCTAGAGGAGGTAGGTCACTGGGAATGTGCCTTTGGGGAATATATTTTGTTCTTATTGAGCAGAGTAGTCTTTCTCTGCTTCCTGGTGCAAGGTTCTGCGCTGCTTTCCTCTGCCACACCCTTCCACAATGATTTCTTCCTCATCTCTGGCCAAAAACAATGGAGTTGACCTTCTGTGGACTAARACCTCTGAAACTCTGAGCCCCAAATCAACTTTTCCTCCTCTGAAATTGATCTTGTCAGATTTTTTAGTCATAGCAACAAAAAAGTTGACTAAAACATTCAGTTATTTGGTTAAATTTTTCWTTTTGGATCTTTTCTATTGATGCTTTCTTAGAGTTTTGCTGAATTTGCTGTTTTCTTTCATTTTGCTTATTCCAATTTATTTTATTATTTCTTTTGTATTTGTGATTCTATGAAGTTCATAAATGATAGAACCATTTCTACTCAAAAACACTGTGTAACTAATTTTACATGAATCACCCTTGCTAAGAATTTTTCCTTCTATCTAGCAGAAACAAGTTTAAATATAGAATCTCAGGCTTTAAGAAAATGTAGACATCTTTACCAGAGTAGATGATGATGAAGAAGTAGTAGTAATAGTTAATGGTTATAAGCATAACGTCAGATAATCTGTGTAGTTTTCTTAGTATAGTGTTTTGTACATAGCCAGTTCTYAGAAAATGAGATGCTGAAGCTATTTATTTTCTTTTGCTTGGATTTGGGCTTTTTATTATTATTATTGGCCATTATGACTTTTAGTTTAAATATTCCTGGAAAGAAACTAATCATTTAAATACTGATAGAAGAAATTGTATGCTGAGAAAAATTGTGCTTTGAGACCCTTTTGAAAATATTCTCCCATGTTTTTYTCCCTGACAATAGCCACTTTTTCATTTGGTACATGATCTTATTTCAAAAACTTATTTAACCTTTGATGCTGTTATTTTATTATAAAGTTTTGTTTTTCTGTTAAACATGGATTTTCAATATTTTAAAGTCAAGATTTATGTTGTATGAGAATATATTACCTTAAAAACTAAAAATTGATGTCAGAATATTATTTGATTTTAATAGTATGGTTTTAAACTTTTCAAAGTGTATTATGAAAGTAGAATGGAAAAGAATTAMGGGGAACAAGCCGAGCATGGTGGCACGTAGCTGTAATCCTAGTGACTCAGGAGCCTGAGGTAGGAGGATCTCGAGTTCAAAGCCAGCCTCAGCAACTTTGCAARGCACTTAGCAAACTCAGCGAGACCTGTCTCTAAATAAAAAGATACAAAAGGCTGGGGATGTGGCTCAGTGGTTAAGCGGTACTGGGTTCAATCCCTGGAACCAAAAAGAATTATGGGGAGATTCTACAGCTAAATCTCTGCATTATGACGTATACTGTGCCATTTCTCTACCCTGGAGGATGTTTGGAAGTCTTTTAAGAGGAAGACAATGAATMTGCTGCCAGAAAACTGACTTAGACATATCCAACAGCTCAGAAAAGAGCCAACCAGATCTTTGGCAATTTGTAAATCCAGATCAGCTAGCTCTTCTTATTCCACCTCAGATGACATATTCTGGAGCCCCCAGGGACAAGTAGAAAAGCCTGTCACATTTAACCCAGTTAATCCTTCAAGGCATTGCATAAATGCCATAGCTGTAAAATCAAAGGAGATACAAGCTCTCCCTCTCTTTTGGAGGGCACCCCAGTCCCTCTTCCCATAACTGCCTGGGATCCATTTCAGTGCTGCCTTCTCTGAGGCTGCTCTGAACCTGGGATGTATTTTGGTTCCCATMTCCAATGTTAAGGATTTGGACAATCTAATGAACTATAGAAGTACCAATAGTTCAGTTACATTGGAACAGGATCCTATTGCCTTAATCCAAAATTTGAACATATTAAATGCCAATTTTGAACTCTAAAGTCAGTTAGTAGAGAAGTATTTATCTTCTGTTTTATGTGATGATAAGAAGGGGATTTTAGAAATATATATATATATATATATATATATATATATATTAAACATTATTATTTCATATTTAAACAAACACCACCAAAACGTTATGTTTTGAAATGGAAACTGTAGAAAATAAAACCCAATAAAATCCTCTTGTTTGGAAAGGATTTTTAAAATTACTTATCTTCTTTATTAGAGAGATTCTCTCTAAAGGAGATGGATACTTCTCCCAAGTGACAGAACACTTTCATGGAGATGGCCAGGGGAAAGATTTTGATGGTTTTGAAAGAGAGTAGTCATTAGCAAGCTAACAAAGGATCACTATTCTAATTATTTTGTCTGTTAAGCTAGGTGGCTGGGCCTTTCTATCACCATTCTTCTATCTTCTTTTTCTTCTTAATTCCTTTTTTAAAAAATATGGTGCTAGGATTTGAACCCAAGGTACTGCATAYGATAAACACATGATTTCTACTGAGCTACATCTCCAGCCCCACTCCAAAAATTTTAATTTTCAGTCCATAAAATACATAAAGTCCCCAAACTGCAACTAAGCCCAGACTGGCTAGTTAAAAGTGACAACTTCTTATTCTGAGCACTCCTACCCTCCACTTAATCCAGCAAACTCACAACTTTGAAATATAATATTTACATCACTCTGTAATAATAATGCTATCTGATACAAAACTTTCACTTTTAAAGTGTTACTCAGGAACTTTAGATGAGCAGTTCTACTTTTATAATAAAGTAAATTGATACACCATATCAAGTTGTTCTGGAAAAAAAAAAAATCATACCCTTCTCAAAAGAGAGCAATCTCCTGATTTCGTACCAGCAGGCTTTGGCTCAAATTTGTCATTTGAACCTGACTACTCTTAAGTGAGTGATTTCTTGATTGATTTTCTTACACTTTCAACAGTGATCCTCAGTGTTCAGTTTATTCCCTGAAATGTCACTGTAACCTCTGTTATGGGGTCTGGGGGGGGGGGTGTCTACTAGAGAAAGGTAATCTAGAAAATAGGATTCTGTTAGCCTGAAGGAGTTAATGTAATACTAGAGAGGAGAAATTTAATTGCCTTTCGTTCAGAGTGTTTTAAATTCTTAAACTTTCTTCAAATTGTAGCCACCTGCCAATAAATAAAGCAAAATAACAATAGACTAAACAACYTGAATAATGGAGATTTATTATATTCTCAAGTAAGATTTATGTCTTAGGATATGTATTAAAAATTAAGTATGAAAGGGTTTAGGAAAGTRTAAAAAATGGTAGCTAGACCTAAAAGCACTTTGCATTGCATTGACTTTTTTTTTTTAGCACAGTACATTTATTTTTTTGTATTTGACAACAAAATAAGTGAACAGCCCTTATTTGATTGTTTAGAAACAAATGGAAACTGTATTCTTTCTTCTTGAACATTCTTGACAGAGTGTGAAACAGTCTTGTAGAGAATAAATTATTTTCTTCTAGCATTTCCAAAATGTAGAGATAAATAGAATTTAGACTGCTCTGTAATCATTAAAATACTTTTAATATTTTTTCAAATGTGGAATGCTTTACAAACTTGCATATCATCCTTGCACAGGAGCCATGCTAATCATCTCTGTATCATTTCAGTTTTCGTGTATGTATTGCTGAAGTGAGCACTTGAATATATTTTGAACTGTACTGTTTCCATTAAAATCTGAAACTACACAACTGGAATAATATGGAGTAGAATGCTTAAAAACATCTGCAGCAGAATGTTAAGCACACAGTTAAGAGCTCTTGATGACAGACACACACACCTCTTTCTCCAAATCAGGCACTTCAAGGTACTCTCCCTTTTAAAGTCCTTCATACAAAAAGAGATGTTACCATATACTGCTGTATGTCCAAATATTTAGCCATTTCCCACTTTGACATATTAAATAAATAAAAAATTAACATGACATTAAAAACAAGAGCTTCTCTAGCTGCCTCCAGGAGTCCAGACAGACCAGCCTTTCTGAGAATCCAGAATCATCCTAATGCAATTTACAAACAATCCTTCCTGGGAAAAGATGAATTGAAGTTCSTTCGTATTGAGTAGCCTGAGAGAAAAGGCAGCAGCATAACACACCATCATGCTTATAATACCTTCATTTTTTCTTTTTCATTCTTCTCTGGCATGGTGGCAAAAACTGGTGAGTGTGTTTGTTAAATATTTTGCAGATTTTAAATGCACTATAAATGCTCTCAGCAAATCCACCATGATATTCTAAGCTGAAGTAGGGGTCTTGTCCTTAGTTGTATCTTATACTGCAGATATTTTTCTCTAGGTAGCCCATTCCTTCAAAGTCCCTGAAAAATAGGACAGACTTCATGAGGAGGATATTTAAAAATAGTTTCAGAGATCTGCAAAGATATAAAAGTTTTGTCAAAAGAATAAATTGGAAAAGTTTTTTAGAAAGATCATTGATAAGGAAAATATRGTATGGAAAGTACTAATAACAAGAAAAGGGCTAAGTCTCACAGGTTCTTAAACTATTTTGAGCAGTCAGGGAAAGTCTGTGGACCACCCTTCTCAGCAAATACTTTCAGATACAGGCTTTTCCCCATTATGTTCAAAGAACCTCTCTCCCCCAGGTTCAGAGCACTCCTGGCTCTGGTAAAAAGAGTGGACTAAGTTTATCTTGAGTACTCTGTATGCCTTCTTTTTCCATTCACATCACCCATCACCTCTCCTTTCCCAGGTTCTAGGGTTCATCAAGCCCTCTGTTTTGATGTCCTGTCCAAGTTTATTATCTCTGAACAACATCCAATCTTATAGCCTTTTCCATCTTTTCTCACCAATCCCCATATCCCCAATTCAGGTCTTAATCTTCTTTCAGGTTTTATTTTAGTAGATTAGAAATTCTTTTTTATATTCATTTTTTAGTTGTAGAGGGACACAATACCTTTATTTTATTTCTTATGTGGTGCTAAGGATCAAACCCAGGGCCTCGCATGTGCTCRGCGAGCGCACTAYCGCTGAGCCACAACCCCAGCTCCTAGATTAGAAATTCTTAATAGTGGAATTCATTTTCTAGCAAGCCATATCAGGTTGGGGTACAGCAGTTTTTTGAATCACCCACAGCATATAATTCTCCCCCAATCACACACACACACACACATTGTCTGCGATTTCTCCATAGTGGGGAGTGGTAGRGAGTGGTATCCTTGGCTTCCACTCCTGGTTGCCTGGCATGTGGAGGCAGAAACAAAGCCTCTGATAAAATTGGAAATTAATAAGAAAATAATAATTAATTATAAAAATTAATAAGAAATTAGATCGTGCCTAATTAATGAATTTATATTAAAGTGTGTCCAAAGTGAATTTCTTTTTATTAAAGATAAATAAATGATTATCCTTTGAAAACAGGGTTCATTTCAAAGCTAGGTATTAGAAGTCAATACTAGGCATGGAATTTTTTAATTGTGAGCTGACCATCAAGAAAATAGCACAGAAGAAAGCTCATATCTGTTATGGGAATCATTTGGTATCAGGAGAATTTATAAAAAGAGAAAAAGGAGACTCTGCTTACTGTCTGGGTAGTGAGAAGGGGAAAGCCTTGGTTCTTTCATACCAGTGTATATAGACACCATGTCTCTTTACAGGATGTGCACTTCTTGCGGGGGCAGGGGGTGGGGGAAGCACGACACGTTCTAAGAGAAGATTTTGAATTTGTGATGTCAAAAGATCAAGGACAAGATGAGCTGGCTGCTTCTGTGCACATGCATTCTTGAAAAGCCAGTTTCAAAGCATCTTTAAATGAATTCTGGAGGCTTCTCCTCAAAAGCAAATTAAGCATTTTGTTACTTAAGGAATTTATGTTTGCAYATACAGGCTTAGCCAATTCTAATGCTATCCTGGAAGGAGACAGGATCTGCAAGTGCTGTATGCTGACAATGCATCTTTTACCCTCCTCCTCCTCATCCTTCCATTCTTCAAATCATGAGCAAGGGCAATGGCTACAAGATAAAGCTGAAAGAATAGGGTGCCTCAATTKTTTAAAGTTTGTTATTTATCTAAAATACGGGACGCTATGTGAAAGATGTTAAACTATAGAGGTGATATCAAATTCAAATTTTAAAGGAAATTCATTTTAAATAATAAGATAACATTGCAATATTTAATATTCCAATATTAAAGTTAAAACTCTAACTGCTAAGGTTAATTATTATTGATTGGCACTGCTGATTAATACAAGATATTTTAAAATTCTTACTTATTCTATTACTTTTCTATAATTTCTTTGATGTTTTATTTCAATTTGATTTATTATAAATAGTTCATAGTTGCTATATATTTAATGTTTTGTCACCCCATAATTTTATATGTTAAAATTCTAGCCTCCAAGGGGGTGGAATTAGGAAACAGGGCCTTTGGTAGTAAATAGATCATGAAAGCAAAGAGTTCTAGAATAGGATTAGTGTCCTCATAAAAGGAGCCTAAGAGAGACCCCTGACCCTTTCCACCATGTGAGGACACTGCCAGAAGACAATGGTTTCTATGGACCATAAAACAGGTCTTCACCAGAAACCAAATCTGCTGGCACCTTGATCTTGGATTCACAGCCTCCAAAACAGTGGCCTGAACAGATGAAGAAAGATATATTCTGTTTTACTTTTATCCACTTCATTCCAGAACTTCACAGTGATCCAAATGTTAACATAGTTAATAGCAGCTCTATTTGTCCTAAATCTAGATGTATTTCAGAAAATGAACACCACTTACCAAGCAATACCAACTAGCAAGATAAGATCACTTCATTCCTCTTTCAATGAGCAATGAATTAGAATGGAAGAAGTGGGTTGGACTTTCTATGCTCTGTTTAAAATTTTGCCTTGTTTTCTTTAAATGTTAGTGGGAGGGAACCCAAGAATACATGTGTGATGTGTGGCAAGGTGGTGCACACCTATAACCCCAGAGACTAGGGAGGTTGAGTCAGGAGAGTCACAAGTTCAAGGCCAGCCTTAGCAAYTTAGGCCCTAAGCAATTTAGTGAAACTCTGTCTTAAAACAGAAATAAATAAATAGGCAAGGGATGTGGTTCAGTGGTAAGTCACCTCTGGGTTCAATCCCCAGTAAA